GAAGCCAATTTTCGAAAATTCCTAACGTCTTAACCATAAAGCGCAAAAACCGGAAGTTTCACCCGCTGGGAGCATAAACTTCACTCTCCATTTGCGGGAAGTTTCACTAAAATCTAGGCAAAAATGCGACAACCAGAGACTTTTAAAGAAGAGCTTGCAACGTTGACATTTTCACCCATTTGAAGCCAATTTTCGAAAATTTCTAACGTCTTATCCAGAAGGCGCAAAAACAGGAAGTTTCACCCGCTGGGAGCATAAACTTCACTCTCCACTTGCCGGAAGTTTCACTCAAATCTAGGCAAAAATGCGACAACCAGAAAATTTTAAAGGGGAGCTTGCGATGTTGTAACTTTCACCCATTTGAAGCCGATTTTCGAAAATTCCTGCCGTCTAAACCAGAATGCGCAAAACTCGGAAGTTTCACCCGCTGGGAGCAGAAACTCCACCCTCTAGTTGCCGGAAGTTTCCCTCAACTCTAGCCGAAAATGCGACACCCAGAGACTTTTAAACGGGAGCTTGCGAGGTTGACATTTTCACCCATTTCAAGCCAATTTTCGAAAATTCCTGCCGTCTAAACCAGAAGGCGCAAAACTCGAAAGTTTCACCCGCTGGTAGCAGAAACTCCCTCCTCCAGTTGCCGGAAGTTTTCCTCAACTCTAGCCAAAAATGCGACACCCAGAAACTTTTAAAGGGGAGCTTGCGAGGTTGAAATTTTCAGCCATTTGAAGCCAATTTTCGAAAATTCCTGCCGTCTAAACCAGAAGGCGCAAAACCCGGAAGTTTCACCTGCTGGGAGCAGAAACTCCACTCTCCACTTGCCGGAAGTTTCACTCAAATCTAGGCAAAAATGCGACAACCAGAGACATTTAAAGAAGAGCTTGCGAGGTTGAAATTTTCCCCCATTTGAAGCCAATTTTCGAAAATTCCTGCAGTCTAAACCAGCAGGCGCAAAACCCGGAAGTTTCACCCGCTGGGAGCAGAAACTCCACTCTCCACTTGCCGGAAGTTTCACTCACACGCAACCAAAAATGGGGCGACCGTCGGCTGTTGAGGACGAGCTGGCAACGCAGACAACCCCCAATTGCGCGACACCGCAACCTTAAAAAAATCGCCAAAATTCCCCCTTTAGGGCCACAAGAGCCATTTTGCTGCCAATCAGAGAAGGGACTTTCCTCCTTAACGCCACACCAACGCCCACACTCCAGACGCCCCCCTTCGGGCGCCACTGGGCAAAGAACCCGCGCATGCCAAACGCGCGCAAAACTACATCAGAAGCTTAAAAAATTCGCCAAAAATGGCCCAGAAGAGCGCCAAAAACCGCCCAAAGGCCACCCACAGAAGAAACCCTGCTCGATAAAACGGCACCAAAACCAGCCCTGTAAACCGCCCAGTTTCGGAGCAATCAGCATCTCAAAACCCCAAACCATAACCCAACTCCTACCTTCCAACGGATCCTCGGCATTCTCCTGCATTTG